GACGTCATATACATGGTATAAATTCAATTTAAACGTGAAGGACAAGTTAGCGTTTTCTTCCGAGCAATTTCGCCTAGAGCCTCCGAGACGATCTCACCGTTCACGGTCGTTGTCGCCTTCCTCAGTATGCTTTAAATTCCAGATCACGGTCATTGCGAATAATAAAGGCTTTTAGTGAGGCTAGATTTCAGCATTCTCACTTTATTTTATTATCGTCAGGTTATAAGCCGGGATGCGGCGATAAGTATCGTAAAAATTTACTGCAAAAACACTATGTGTTTTATAAATAAAACGCGGCGATGTCTAAAATCTGCGGGGGAGAAGATGAGACGAACTAAACTTTCCTTACAATGTTTGAACATTCTGTTTTATGTAACTACCTACTAAATTTTAGAGCATTTGTAGACACACCAGAAACAACGTGCAATTTTTTATTATCCCTTTATGTCAAAAAAATAGATTCGAATTAAATTATGGGAGATTTATTTAAAATGATCTAAAACCAGAAAATTGTTTCCGAGTCTATTGTTTGTTCCGCTTTGACTTGGCAGCGTATAATGCATTTTATATAGGAGAATTCGCGGCGGTGTTGTCAGTTGTCAAAAATCTACCGATTTCTGAAGAACTTGATTTCTATAGTAAAAATTTCGTGATAAAAACAATTATTCCTTGAATTTTGATAATTTAAAAAAATATTATTTCATTTTTTATTATTATTATTATTTTAAAGTCGATCAGTGGCAAAGTTGTACAGTATGGTTTAAAATAATTTTTGTAACAAAGAAGTAACACCATTCGTGCAAACATTAAAAAATTACAATTATTTAAATTTTATAAAAAAGATACATCTGTACTTGTGGTTTATGAATGCGTTTTGAAATATCAAAATTGTATAACATTTTCCTATTTAACAATAAAACTGCAAATCCGAATGCTCCGAAATGTTGCAAACGTTTTAAGGTTAATTAAAATTTTTTCGTTTATGCCCCCCAAGAAATATTCATGTCATTATAAAATTTTGTTGAATAAATGTAACTTAAATTTTACCGAATTACATACTTTTGAATGTGTGATTCATGAATCCGTGTTGAGTTTAAATTTACATGTCCAGAATTTTTCGATTTTCGATACTTCAACTTTTCGAATTTTAGATGACTTGATTTTCAATTTCCCGAGCCTTTTTTTCGATTTTTGGTATCTTCGGTTTTCAGTTTTGTTCATTTTTTGAAATTCGAATTTTGCAATTCTTTATTCTCGCTTTTCAATTTCTCGATTTTTTAATTTTTAGAAATTTCGGTTTTCCGAATTTTCGGATCTTTGTTTTTTCGAACACTTATAATCGAGATTTCGACTTTTCGATATTCCTATTTTATATTATCGTTTTTCCAAATTTCAATTTTTAACTTTCGATTTTTCAAAATTTTCAATTTTTTTGATTTAGATTTCTTGATTTTTTCAATTTTCCCATTTTTCCACATTTCTGATTTTTCGAATTTTCAGTTATCCGATTTTTCAGATTTTGGTTCTTTTGAACACTGATTAATCGATTTTTCGATGTCTCCGATTTTCATTTTTTTTTATTTCGATTTATTTAATTATAGATCGTTCCATTTATCAACTTTTATATTTTACAATTTTCCAGTTTTCGAATTTCGATATTTAGTTTTTGCTGTTGTTATGGATTTTTTTTTGGAATACATATTTGAATTTTCAATTTATTTTCTTTATTTAGTTGTCGATTTTTCGATTTTCGAATTTTCAATTTTTCTACAGTTTATCGATTTTTTAACCATTTTATATTTCGAATTTTCAATTTTCAATTTCCTATACTCGAATTTTTAATATTTCTACTATTCGATTTTCCGAATTTTCGATTTTTCAACGTTTGCATTCTTCAATTTTTGGATTATTTATTTATTTTTTCAATTTATCGAATTTTAAATTTTTTAAATTTTCGATTTTTCGAAATTCGTATTTTCAATTTTTATACATTTTTTGGATCTTTGAACGTTTTATTTTTCGCGTTTTCGATTTTCCATACTCGAATTTTCAATATTTCTACTTTAGTTTCTCGAGTTTTTAATTTTTCGACTTTTCGGTTTTTAGAATTTTGAATTTTTCGACTATCGGATACTTCGTTTTTTGTATATTTCGATTCTTCGAAATTTCGCTTTCCGAATTTTTGATTTTTCGGATCTTTGTTTTTTTAACATACAAATTTTGGACTTTTTGATGTTCGAATTTTCCATTTGTTTTCTTTCCAATTTCTCTATTTTTCGGATTTTCGTTTTATTAATTTTTACATTCTTTAATTTTTTGACTTTTTAATTGTTTTATTTTTCGGTTTCCCGAATTTTCAATTTTTCCATTCTTCAGTTTTCGATTTTTCTGTTTTTCCACTTTTCGATTTTTCGTTTTTTCATTTCAATTTTTTTAATTTCGATTTATTTATTTATGGACTGTTCAATTGTTCCATTTATCAACTTTTATATTTTACAATTTTCCATTTTTCGACTTTCGATATATTTAGTTTTTGCTGTTGTTATGGTTTTTTTTTTGGAATACATATTTGAATTTTCAATTTATGTTCTTTTCGATTTCCCGAATTTTAAATTTATTTAGTTGTCGATTTTTCGATTTTCGAATTTTCAATTTTCAATTTTCTATACTCGAATTTTTAATATTTCTACTATTCGATTTTCCGAATTTTCTATTTTTCAACGTTTGCATTCTCCAATTTTTGGATTATTTATTTCTTTGTTCAATTTATCGAATTTTAAATTTTTTAAATTTTCGATTTTTCGAATTTCGAATTTTCAATTTTTATACATTTTTTGGATCTTTGAACGTTTTATTTTTCGTGTTTTCGATTTTCAAACCTTGAATTTTCAATATTTCTTTCTCGAGTTTTTAATTTTTCGACTTTTCGATTTTGGAATGTTTGAATTTTCGAGTATCGATACTATATTTCGGTACTTAGACTTTTATTTAGATTTTTCGAAATTTCGCTTTTCAAATTTTTGATTTTTAGAAACACAAGTTTTCGACTTTTTCATTTGTTTTCTTTCCGATTTCTCTATTTTTCGGATTTTCGATTTATGAATTTTTACATTCTTTGATTTTCTGACTTTTTAATTGTTTAATTTTTCGGTTTCCCGAATTTTCAATTTTTCCATTCTTCAGTTTTTGATGTTTCAATTTTTTTAATTTTCGGTTTTTCGATTTCTCCACTTTTCGATTTTTCGTTTTTTCAATTTCAATTTTTTTAATTTCGATTTATCGATTTTTCAATTTTTCTATATTTCGACTTTTCGAGTTTAGAATTTACCATCTTTCGACTTGCGGTATTTCGTTTTTTGTATATTTCGATGCTTAAATTTTTTTTAGATTCCTCGAAATCTCGATTTTTGAATTTTTGATTTTCGGGTTTTTAGTTTTTCAAATTTTCGGTTCTCCGATTCTTTGGATTTTTGTTTTTTCGAACATTGGTTAATCGAATTTTCGACTTTTCGATATTCGAATTTTCCCTTGGTTTTTATTTCTGATTTCTCTATTCGTCGGATTTTCAATTTTTGATTTTTCGAATTTTCGATTCATCAATTTTTACATTCTTCATTTTTTAGACTTTAGTGTTTTACTTTCCGGTTTCTCGAATTTTCAATTTTTCCATTCTTCGGTTTTTCGATTTTTCGTTTTTCCAAATTTCAATTTTGCCAATATTTGTCTCATCGAAATTTGACTTTCGATTTTTGATATTTCGAGTTTTCGATTTTTCAGGTTTTCAATTTTTTTAATTTTGATTTATCAATTTTTCCAATTTTTGACTTTTCCAGTTTAGAATTTTCCATCATTCGATTTTCGGTATTTTGTTTTTTCTAAATTTCGATGCTTGGATTTTTTTTTAGATTCCTCGAAATCTCGATTTTCGAATTTTCCGTTTGTTTTTATTTCCGATTTCTCTATTTTTCGGATTTTCCATTATGGATTTTTCGAATTTTGATTCTTCAATTTTTACATTCTTCAGTTTTTGGATTTTTCATTTTTTTTAATTTTCGCTTTTTCAGTTTCTCCACTTTTCAATTTTTCGAGTTTTCGCTTTCTCGAATATTTGATTCATCGAATTTTTTACTTTTGATTTTTAGATATTACGAATTTCCGATTTTTCAGATTTTTGTATTTTTAGAATTTCCGATTTTATAATTTTCCGTTTTTCGACCTTCGATATTTCGTTTGTCCTATGTTTCGATTGTTCATTTTTTTTTTTCAATTTGTTTCCTTTTCGATTTCTCGATTTTTAATTTTTAAAATTTTTCGATATTTCGGTATTCCAATTTTTCTACAGTTTTTCGATTTTTCAACTTTTTTATTTTTCGTGATTTCGATTTTCCAGACTCGCATTTTCAATATTTCTACTTCTCAATTTTTGATTTTTCACTTTTTGATTTTTTGATTTTTCGAATTTTCGATTTGTTGACTTTCCGGAAGATTTTGGTATTTTTTTGATTCTCGAACTTTGGATATTCCGATTTTTCGATTTTCCATTTTTCGGGGTCGTTATTTACGTCACTAGTTTTTACTTTATAGAGGCTTTCACAAAACAAAAATCGCAAAATCAAATTTTATAATTTTTCAAAGAAGCACTTCAAAGGCTAGGCAAGTTCTGTGGACATAACTTTAAAAATGTGAAAATTCAAGACAAAATCGTTAAACAACGAAATTGTACGCGAAACTCTTTTTTTTCGCCTCTGGTATGGTTGACATACTGAGTTACCGTGCTCTTTTGCAAGTTGCCCTGCTCCTGAAGATGCCACTTACGAAAGGTGCGAAACGTTGAGCCCCAAAAATTCAATTTACACGGTTCCAACCCGGAAAACGATCATGTAATTATTATGTTTATTAATAGAAATTTTAGACCGTAAAGTAAGTAAGTAGTAGTATTTAAAAAATAAGGGTTGAAAAACTTCTGAGTCTCCTGTTATTAAAAAAATGCAAAAACATACCTCCAGAGTCTTCGAGCAATTTGTCTTCTACTTTTTCGCTTGATACTGAGTGCTAAATGTTTCGAGCCCATTTCACCAAAAGTATCTAAAACACAATCATGTATGACTACTTTTGGCCTACATCTTGGGCGAATATCTACTACACTTTCTAATTTCTCAAAATTTCATTCAACACAGATTAAGAATTAAGGTTTTATAAAAATTTTTGGACAACAGAGTAATAACAGAGTAATAATTCCTGAAATATTAAAATTTATACACACCCGACAATATTGTAGTGAGGGCTAATTTCACTCTGTAAACTGCACGAACACGACAACGACTGAATCAGAAATGAACAAATTTTAAATTTTGTGGAGAAAAAGGTCCTAATAATCCGGCAGGTAAATCTTTAGTTCATTACCTTATCAGTAGAAATATTCTTCCAAGAACTGTTTATTTGAAGCGTCGGTCGAAATTCAATCAAAGAATGAACCAAAAGTTAGCAAAGTTTTTGGTTATTAAGTTTTCATACTATGCAATAAAAAAATAGCGTTTATTTTTTTTTCGGCGCCAAGTGTGATCAAAATTCGTAGTTATTTTGGTGATTTACCCAAAAACTGAAGTATATAGATTTATTAAAAGTTGAGCCTTGCGGCGACCGCGGCAACACCCGGAAAACTTTCATTATCCGGACAGGAAATGAACAAGGAAACCACCACTTTGGCTCAATATCAGAGCCCAGCAACTACCCCTAAATATAATTGTGCACAAACTTGAATACCATTTGCCCAATAATCAGCAGCTGTCACACTTCTACAACTCACTATTACACAATCAAAGTGACATCAGTTCGGCCTTTCTTGAACGCCTCTCGTATTGTAAATGTATACGCTAAAAATTAAAACCGGGCAAATTACGAGTACCTTTGTAAATTCGTATAATTGCAATGGGAAAAAACAATTAGTTAAAAATGTTTACCTTTGCGTTTCGTTTATTAAAATATTGAATTCACTTTGAAAATGTGTTCGTTATAAATCACTCACAACGAGTGAAACAGAATGACAAGTTTCAAGTTTTGGTCTGAAAAAGGCCTGGATAATCCACCAGGTATATCTCTATTTAATTAATCATCAGGTAAAATCCTTTTCTAAGAAGTAAACCCCTTAGTTGCTGACCAAAACTAATGACTCGGAAAATGCTAATAAATTCTCATAAGCCGAAGCTCTTTGTAGTCAAGTCTTAAGGGTGTTGCTACGCTGAAGCGAAAACAAGAGAGCGAGTTGCCAAGAATCAAGAGCGAAAAATGGTTTATAGCAATCACGTCAAAAATTAACAGCTCTGCGATATTGCTTAAATATGTTTAATGGCCTTAAAAGAAGAACCGACGTTATAGAACGATTATTCTGTACCGTAGTAAGTAGTAGTATTAATAAATAAGCATTGAAAAACTTCTTTTTTGAAAAATGCAAAAACATACCTGCAGAGTCTTCGGGCAAGTTGTCTTTTACTTTTCCGCTTGGCACATGTTGTTAACCTTTTCTTTTTCGGGTTGCCCATTTCACCAAAAGTTTCTAAAACACAATCACGTATGATTACTTTTTGTCTATATCTTTGGGCGAATATTTACTATACTTTCTAATTTCTTAAAATTTCATCTCGTAGATTAAGAATGAGGGTTTTATTAAAATTGTTCGAGGATGTTTTCTTTTGTATGTTTTTTCTATTGATTCAATCAAGAACCAAACTCAACACCATTTCCCTAAAATCTGGCAATACAGTACTGTTATTATTAGCATTACTCTACATTTTAATGTTAATGACGTCATCATAAAATTTTGTAATGGAAAAACTCACTAGGAACAACATTCACTTTAACATTATATACATATCTTTATTTTAACATACATACTCGTATAAGGCTTCTCATAAAAAAATAAAATTCGCAAAATCAAATTTTACGACCAATTCACTAGTTTACAAATTTAAACTTTTTTTCGTATCCAAAAATAAAAAAAATATTTTTTACTTCTAAATTGCTTACTAATAACAAATCCAAAAACGGATTATCCTTATCACGTCAGGTTTTTTCATAAATCAAAAATAATGAACTTTGCTCTTACCTTCACGTTAGTGTCAAACTGATTCATGTTAATACACCATTGTCACATAAAAAATGTCTTCGAGATCGTGCAAAGTAAGTGCAAATCAGTTTTGTTACGTTTATGGTAAAATTATAGTACCTAAAGCAAGACCTGTTCAAATATGCTTCAAAAGAATGTATCAAGGATTTTGGGACGAAAATGTGTTACTGTTGGTCTTTTATAAGGGAAACTGTCTGTACTGTCAATAAAAGAAAAGCTACTGATTATAATTTTTAATTTTCAGTCATAATGTTTATAATATATACTGGGTGTTGCTTTTATTTGATACAACCCCTGTAACTTCTTTATTCTTAATGATAAGCCTGTATTTCTTTGAGCAAATTTGTATCATTTTAAAAGGTCTTTGTGACGCCAACTTCACATTTTTATTATCACTTCCCGTAGAAAAATCAAAAGCAACCAATTATTCTAAAATCAATACTTGAAAAATTTTAAATAAAACATTGATGACAATCTAGTAGCTTGAAAAATTGACACTCATGTTATTTATTTACCTAAATGATCTTTTAAAATGATACAAATTTGCTCAAAGAACTATATGTTCATATATATTTAAAAAAAATAAATAAATAAAAAAAAATAAAAACGTTACAAGAGTTGTATAAAAGAAAAGAAATACGGGGTATGTTTATATAAATATCTCAAAAACCTGACGTGATAGATTTTTTCTGCTTTCAGATTTGAATTTCCCGAACCCAAATCCTTTAGATTCAGCTATTTTTGTCTTTGGATATAAAACCTTGTAAACTAGTGTTATTTGACATTCAATTTTTCGTTTTTTCATTTTCTTTAATTGTTCAATTTTTCCATTTTTTGCTGTCTCGGTTTTTACAATTTGAATTTTTTCATTTTTCGATTTTTCAGTTTCTCAATTTTTATATTTTCCAATTTTGCAATTTTTGGATTTTTCTATTATCCAACTTTCCGGTTTCTTTAATTTTCAATATTCGGATTTTACAATATTTCGTTTTTCTGAAGCAGCTGAAGAAACGAATTGAAAACTTGAAAGATTTTTTTTTCACAAGTTTACTTTAAGATTTTTCAAAGTTTCTATTTTATAATTTTTCATTTTTTCGTTGTTGGTTTTTCATTTTTCCCATTTTTTTGAATAGAGCTTTAGAATAGAAAAATCGAAAATTTAAAAATCGAAACATTGAAAAATAAAAAAATCGAGAAAAATGCATGAATCGAAAAACTGGAAAGAAGAAAAACTAATCGAATCGAAAAATTGGAAACCACAAAAATTGTAAAGTCGAAAAACTGTAGCAGTGTAGAGTAGTGTTTGAAAAATGGAAAAATTCGATTTTGGATTTTTCGAATTTTCGATTCTTCAATTTTTACATTGTTCAGTTTTTGGATTTTTCTTTTTTTTTATTTTCGCTTTTTCAGCTTCTCGACTTTTCAATTTTTCGAGTTTTCGATTTCTCGAATATTTGATTCACCGAATTTTTGACTTTTGATTTCTCGGTATTACGAATTTTCGATTTTTCAGATTTTTGTATTTTTCGAATTTCCGATTTTATAATTTTCCGTTTTTCGACCTTCGTTATTTCGTTTGTCCTATATTTCGATTGTTCATTTTTTTTTTCAATTTGTTTCCTTTTCGATTTCTCGATTTTTAAATTGTTTTATTTTTCGATGTTTCGGTATTCCAATTTTCAATTTTTCTACAGTTTTTCGATTTTTCAATTATCCAATTTTCCGGTTTCTTTAATTTTCAATATTCGGATTTTACAATACTTCGTTTGTTCGACTTTGCAGTTTTTCGATTTTTAAGTTTCTCGATTCTGAAGCAGCTGAAAACGAATTGAAAACTTTTTTTTCACAAGTTCACTTTAAGATTTTTCAAAGTTTTTTTTTTAATTTTTCATTTTTTCGTTGTTGGTTTTTCATTTTTCCCTTTTTTTTTTAATAGAGCTTTAGAATAGAAAAATCGAAAATTTAATAATCGAAAAATTGAAAATTAAAAAATCGAGAAAAATTCATGAATCGGAAAACTGGAAAGAAGAAAAACTAATCGAATCGAAAAATTGGAAACCACAAAAACTGTAAAGTCGAAAAACTGTAGCAGTGTAGAATAAGTAGTATTTGAAAAGTGGAAAAATTTCTAAAAAATTAGATACATATTTAAAATGAAAACAAGCAAAACTGTAAATCAAACATTAAAAAAACGAAAAATTGAAAAATCGAGAAATTTAAAAATCTAAAAATTGAAACATTTTACATTGAAAAAAATTTTGGGATGACATCATCAATTTTTTGGGGGGAATAAATAGATATCCATGTTTTGATTAACAATTTAGCAGGCTTACTATAACGTTAACACCTAAACAAGAATTCAAAGTATTGATTTATTCAATAAAATAAGTTGACCGATTCATTAACTTTTTTGAGTCACCCTGTATAAGCAAATCTAAAAAAATATGAATGCAATGATAAATTACAAGTATAGACTGATCATATTTTGCAATTTTAGAATAGGATTTATTCGGTAAAATTTTGAGATTACGTCATCAATTTGTTGAGATTCATAAACAGATAGATTTTGATTAAAAAGTTACCACCCTTATAATAACTCCAAAACGTCTACAAGTATTCAGTTTTGCAATTCTTCACTTAATCAATAAAATAAATGGACTCAGTCATTAATTTTTTTGAGGCACCCTGTATAAGCAAATCTAAAAAATATTAATGCAGTGATAAATCACAAGTATTGACTCATCATACTTTGCATATTTAAAATAGGATTTATTCAGCAAAATTTTGAGGTGACGTCATCATTTTTTTAGAGGGATGAGCAAATACATTTTGATAAAAAAAATACCATGCTTGTGATAACTTTAAAATATTTTCAAGATTTCAAAGCATTCGGTTTTGTAGTTCCTGCTTAAATCAGTAAAATAAATTCAGCCATTCATTAATTTTTTTGAGGCACCCTGTATATACAAAACGTAAAAGTAGAGAGTTGGCCGACAGACTCTATTACAGTATTTTCTTTGCTTCTGCTCAGGAAGTAAAAAATAAAATTGAAAATGAGAACATTGAAAAAGCGAAAAACTGAGAAAATAAAGAAAATGAAAAACCGAAACGAAAAATTACAAATCGAACAATTGAAAAATCTAAAAATTGAAAACTCGTGAAATTGTAAACTCGCGAAATTGTAAATCGAAAAAATTGCAAAATCTAAAAATTGAAACATCCAAAAGTTGAAAAATCGGAAAACTGAAGAAACAAAACATGAATAATTGAAAAATGGCAAACCGAAACGAAAAATTGCAAAATTTAAAAATTGGATAACTCAAAAGTTGGAAAATTAAAACACTGAAACATTTAAATTTGAAAACTAGAAAAACTGCAAATCCAAATATTGAACAAAAAAGGAGAATTGAAGAAAGGAAAAAAGAAATTCAAGGGAAAAAAGCTACCGGCCACTAGTTTTTACTTTACAGAAGTCATACAATTTTTCTATAATAAGCAAAACATTTTTAATTTATTATAGTGAAAACTTTTGATATTCAACGGTAGTTGGTTCAAGCTTGTTTATATGTATATACGAGATCTAGTACTTGCTAAAATATGACTTAATTTGGCTAATGGCATAACCTCTAAGAAAAGAGAGGACGGGTGGGCGGGGCTAGTGCTTACAAGACTGATTTTGGCAAATGATATACCCTTTGAGAAAATAGAGGGCGGGTGGGTGGATTTAATACTTACTAATCTAAAACTGACTTTTTCAAATGATACTTATATGTACCCTCTAAGAGAATAGAGGGGAGGTGGGCAGAGAGAGTAACATGCTAAAATAAGACTGAATTTGGCCAATGACATAACCTCTAAGAAAAGAGAGGGTGGGTGGGTGGGGGGGGCTAGTACTTACTGAGATAAGACTAACTTTGGTAAATGACATACCCTGTAAGAAAACAGAAGGCGGGTGGGCGGGGCTAGTATTTGTTGAGATAAAACTAATTTTGCTGAATGACTGAACAATATTAAAATTAGTCACTGGAATGAAGAGGGGGCGGGCAGATGTAAGATCGTTAGAATGAGAACAGGGTGGGTGGGTGGGGCTAGTCCTTGGTAAGATAAGACTAATTGTTGCAAATGACATACCTTATAAGAAAACAGAGGGTGGGTGGGCGGGGCTAGTATTTGTTGAGATAAAACTAATTTTGGTGAATGACTGAACAATATTAAAAGTAGTCACTGGAATGAAGAGGGGGCGGGCAGAAATAAAAGATCGTTAGAATGAGAACAGGGTGGGTGGGTGGAGCTAGTTCTTGGTAAGATAAGACTGACTCTTGCAAATGACATACTTTATAAGAAAACAGAGGGTGGGTGGACGGGGCTAGTATTTGTTGAGATAAAACTAATTTTGCTGAATGACTGAACAATATTAAAATTAGTCACTG